ACAGCTGGATGATCACTTTTCGAGCTAAGCCTCTCGATCGTCGATTGATATTCATCATCGAATTGCTTATTGAAAAGTTTCAGAAGTTGAACAGCGGTATGTAAAACCTCAATTAAGTCAAATTCAATCAAAGAGTTGATCACTTCAAAGATAACATCGTCATTTTTAAGTCCATCAAAGTTAGCTTGAGTTAAAAGTCTTTGAGTGTTTCAACGATGTACGAGTTGAACCAAGGAGTGTACAGTGCAAATAAGTCAATCAAATTTTTCGCCAAACTCTCCGAAAATCCCTTTACTGTTTCCACTTGAGCCCATTCGAAAGCAAAATTTAAAAGCAAATAGGATTTTGCGTCGTCGAAATTCGTTAGAACCGATTGGAAAACGTGGAAAACTCGTCGGATCACAGGCAATCTCATTTCGGTGCCCATTTCCGCGTAAACAATTCCGGTGATCAGCGATCGAACAGCCGATTTGATTGGGTAATTCTTGACTTTTGTCAAATTCCACTCATTCTTCACCGTTTCCGTGAAAATCGATGAAAATGTGCTCAATCTTTCCTCTAACATTGCAGAGTTTTGAAAGTACGTGGAAACAAGAAATCTTTTTGCCGACTCGCCTCTCATTTCATCGAAAAGATATTTTTTCAACAGTTGCGCTAAAAATTCTTCGGGTAATATGTTGCAAATTGGTAAATCGATGCTATCGAAGAGACGACAAGCATAAGAATCGGCTCTTTGATCACCGCTTTTCTCGAGTTTATCCACTGTATTGAACAAGAGCTGTAAACACTCAATCACGTGCTCGTTCGACATCTCTTTTAAATTGAAAGGCCATGGATTTAACAGTAAAATCTCCTTCTCACTGATGTTTGAGATAATCATTTTAATCAGTGACCAAGTTTCTGAGTTCTTGTTTCTTTCAAATAAAAGTTGTGCCTCGGCAAAGATCGCTGTTCTGATGGAATAATGTTCTTGTTGTTTCCAAAGTGATGACAAAAATTTGGAGATTTTCGTTGAACTCTCTAATAAACTCATCAATCGGACACCGTGCTTGGCAACAGAGACTCGTTGATTTGATAAATGTTCAGCAAATTGAATAGCTTTCTTTAACTCCGTCCTTCGACAACTGTTAGCTAAAGCTGATAAAGCACTAGCCAGATAGTCTCCTTCACAAAGTTTTTCGATTAACTCAAGATCGACAGGTGGATTGGAGCGCTTCATCGCTGGAGCAATCTGATTCAAAAACGAGAATCTCTCCTTGGCGTCCAAGTCAGTAATCTCGATTTTTGTTTCAGTCGGCAAAAGTGGCTCCAAGAATTCGCCAAAACTTTTCCCATCAGTCAACAATGCCAATAGAACGAGTAGACGACCGTTTTTGTGTTTGTTGATGTTGGAAATGCATCGATCCACAAATTTTGTTCGAATCTCCTTGTGCCAGCGTAGTTCTTTCATGAATCCTTTTACAGCTAGACTTTTATATTCTTGTTCACATTTCTCGAAATACTCTTCCCAGTTTTGCAAGATGCTTTTTGGATTGCTTTTCAGTAAATTCAAGCTTTTTACATCAATGGAATGTGAGGTATTTGGCCAAAACTTGTAAAACAAATCGATATCGTCTTTCTTTATCAGCCATTTCAGACCGATCAAGTAGTAGTAGTTAGAATCGTATTGTACAACTTTTTCGAGTTCATCAAAAAGCCACTCAAAATCACTTTTCACTAGCAGCTCCACCTTCTCCACCGAGAGCTTGGCTTTCTCGTTAAACGTGTACATCGAGCGTAGTAGATTCGTCACAGTGAATTCTCTGATTCGATCCCATTTCTCCGTTCCCAGACATTGTTTGATGAGTGAATTAAGACGAGAAATTGTCAATCTCTGATATTCCATATTCTCTGAAAAGAAGTTCCATTGTTGACAATGATATCCACTCGTTAACACAAAGTGCATCATCTCGAAAACCCCATCCGCTGGCTGATCATTTTGAAATTTGAATTTTAAAGCCCCCTCCAGAAACTTTAAAGACATTCGCCGAAAGTCCGAAACATCCGCCTTTACGAACATTCTCTGAGCAATTTCCAGAAGTACCACCCAGTACTTTGTACTGAAACACAACGTATCTAGGAGTCGCGTGACATTGTTGATGAAAGCGTGTTGGAATAGCGGAACCTCGTTTCGATGTTTATCGCGAACATGCACGAAGAGCTCATACAACGCATCAAGGTCCTCATTTATCTCACAGCATCTCAACATCTGCGCGATCACCCGCGTTCTCTCCGTAGTGTCCGGCGTCTTTAGGAGCAATTCGTACAGTTTAGGCAACACTTCACCAGTCGGTAAATAGCATTTCCACTCGCTTCGATCGTGTCCACTCTTCTCGATTTCTTTTTGGATTTTGATTCTCGCTTGTTGCACTCGTTGCTCAGTTGGGAGCAAGTTGACGAGCTCTTCGGTCACATTTCTCTCATCGTCCAACAAATCGACTCCATACTTGCTTTTATAGGCCAACAAGAGAAGAGCTGATGTCTTTGCTTTTGGGTAATGGACTAAACGTTGTAGCATTGTGCTCGTCGAGAAATGATTTTTCTTCTCAGGTAACATTTTTGGGAACATAACCTCCATATCTTTATAATAAACATTCTCCGATTTCAGCATTTTATAGAAAACTTTCGGGTTCTCGAGATAGTACTTTTTGGCATGTTTGGCGAAATATTTCGATTGTCTATTTGTCAACTCAAGTCCAAATCCATTGTCACCGTTCTCGTAGATTTCGATAAAATCATTCAAGTGATTTTTAAAGAGTTTACCGAGAAAATATCTGTAATTACTGAGGTTGATATAGAAATTGAAACGTTCCTCCGGCTTGTAAACCTTCAAATCACTTAATCGCAAATACCAGATCACCAGCTGCGGATACTTTTCGTAGAAGTCGTTGATCATTTGATTGGTGAGCACGATCCGGTGCTCGATCATTGCTTTTTTCACGAAGATCTCCGAACAGGCGATCAGTAGCGGTAAAGCAACGTTTAGCCCATAAGTGCGACGAAGAACCTCGAAAAATTCCTCAGCAATGTCGGAGTTTTTCAGAGAACGTGCCAATTTCTTTATAATCTTCCCTCTTGTATTGTAGGCCACGAATGGGAAGAGATCTTCGAGGAAATACTTCACATCTAACACCTCATTTAAGCCATCGAAAAACTCCTTCAGCGTCAGCGATCTATTCACCAATTCGATGTCTTCTGAGCGAAGTCCTTCGGTTATTGCTTCGAAATGTTTCAAATCTTTTCGTCCCATTCGAATCAAAATCTTTGCCGCTTCAATTTTGATTAATGGCTTTAAAGAATTGGGGAATTTCTCGGATTCAACGATATCATCAAGGCTTAAACCAGTCATAACTTTAGACTTGATCTCGGCAGCTATCCAGTCCTGTTTCTCGTTTGATGTATCGCCTGGGATCCTTTGAATCGAGTCAAAAAGATTCATGTTTTGTTGATTGGATTGGATTGGATTGAAACTTGTTTTTTAGGAAAGTTGTTCAATAAACTGAATAGTTTTTCGATAATTCAAAGATTTTCAGAATAATTTGAAGTAATAACTTGAGAGGATAGCTCAGAAAATAAAAGAATACGCAACTTCTTCAAAAAAAGTTGTCAATCAAGCAAGTCAAACAGCTTTTTTTCAGCTGTTGAAATGAAAATTTCAGCTGTTTTTTTAATAAAGAATAAAATAAAGAAGTTGTTAAAATATTAGAATATCAAATTTCAAGCAACAATGAATTAATTGTGCTTCGAAAAGAACGAAAAACTTCTCAGGACAGGTTTGTGTAGTGTGTGGCCCTTTCGAAAATATTGGAAAAGTGGGGAGAGAGAAAGAGGCGTTGCTGGGTGACTCACATATCGTTCTTTTCCTTTTTCTCATTATTGCACAGCCTGTGGTAAACGGTCGTTTTCGACAAAAAATCCCTAAAGCCACGTCGCTTTAGAAAAAAACTAGAAATAGAACAACTAGAACTAGAATAACTAGAACTAGAACAACTAGGACTAGAACAACTAGAAATAGAACAACTAGAACTGGAACAACTAGAACTAGAACAACTAGAACTAGAACAACTAGAAATAGAACAACTAGAACTAGAATAACTAGAACTAGAACAACTAGGACTAGAACAACTAGAAATAGAACAACTAGAACTGGAACAACTAGAACTAGAACAACTAGAACTAGAACAACTAGAACTAGAACAAACTAGAACTGGAACAACTAGAACTAGAACAAACTAGAACTAGAACAAACTAGAACTTTCCAAAATGTCTTGAATATTAAATCAAAATTCTTTTCAAAACTGAATTTAACTCTAATTTACGGCTACTGTTAAATAATTGAGAATACAAAATTATGACATGATATCATAAATGAGATAAATGACCAAATATGAGTGACAGTTTTTAGCATTTGAGCAGGCTCGCAGGCGCTTCGGGAAGGCGTCAACAGTGGCAACCAAATAGGCTGCATCGAGCTCTTCTCGATGTGCATTTCGAGAAACCGTAGCATTCAGTTGAGATTTGACCCATTTTCCTTGTTAAGAAGCCCTTCAACGGTAAATATCTTTTCATCTGCGAACAAGATATTGTGATGGTCGATTCCATTGAAGCGCATCAATAATTGATCTGCTCTCAATTTTTGATGTTTCTTTACTCGATTTGAGAAACCCGTTGACATTTGCTTTAGAGTGGACACTCAAATGTGCGAAGCTATGAATTGCAGCTCATACGCTTTTATGAATCTCGTTGATTGGGGGGGGACAAATGCGACCTTTTTTTGCTGGAAAAGGCCTTAGGAAAGGTCGTAGAGCTTCGAAAATGTTTTCATAATGGGGAATCGTATGCGTAGATTCCGAATTTCGACAAATCAAAGCAAATCAGACCTCGCTGACACGTTAAATTTGAGCTAAAAGGCAAAAACTAACTTATGTTTTGCTATTTTAATGCAATCAATGCTTTATTTAAAAAATGGGAAATTCTTTTAGACGACGTTCAATGACCGTGCAGTGTCCTTTTTGGGTTGGATCAGGTCGAACACAGTGCTGCAAGCCTGCATCTTTACAATCTTTCTCCGTTTCACATTCCTAGATTGGTGATGGTTGAAAATTTTAGAGATATCGTATTGCCTCTTTTAGAAGCTGATAAAAGCCGCGACTTTTACCAGAAGCAGTACTAAAATGTGTTTACGAAAACTACCATAGTTTTTCCTTTAGTTTTTACCCGATAAACTTGATTTTAACCTTAACAAATGTACGTCAGGTTCAAAGTGATGAGTGAGAACGAAATCTAGGGAAAAACGACGGTGGGTTTTCGTAAAGTATCGACATTTTAGAAGAAAATGCGGCTTTCTATTAAAGGGCGGATGGCAGAATGGCAGATAACGATTGGCAGAATCTATTAGACTTCAAATCGAGGCAATACGGTCTTTTAGTTAATACGGTATACATTGATTGCCAATCGTTATCAAAAGCAGTACTAAAATGTGTATAATTTACAAAAACTACCATAGTCTTTCCTTTAGTTTTTACTCGATAAACTTATTCTTAACAAATGCACGCCAGATTCCTCGACGAATGAGCTCAAAATCAAGTTGATCGGACAAAATCTGACGAAGAACCACAGTAGTTTTCGTAAATTAGAAGAAAAAATAGCTTCTATTAGCTTCTATTAGAGAGCTGCTTCTAATAGAGGCAATGCAGTATGTCTTTTAGTTAGTTCACAAGTAATTACATTGACAAAGACAACGTACATATTGATTGCCAATCGTCGAGGCAATGCTGCAGGGAACGACAAAGAGAGCAAATAAGAAATAAAGAAAATATTTCATCGCTTCAAAATGAAAATAATGTTTTATTTGAGCCCTTTTATAAAGGATAAAAAAAGCAAGTCAAGAATTAATCCGCTAAATTTTTTAAAAAAAACTTTTTATTTATAGATGAATGTGGGCAGAATCAAAAAGAAACGTCATTCATGTCAATACATTTTGATTGCTATTTTATACATAGCAACTTTTAATGAACAAGCACCCCATAAACCTTATCGATACTTATCGAGATCGAAAGTATCGATTATCGATAAGTATTGATCAGCTTTTTAAGGCACTCACCTATAAGAATTTGCTATGTGTAAGATAGCGATCAAAAGCTGACATTCTTGGCTTTCCAATGAAACAGTTCTTTGTATTTCTTTGTTCATCTATAAATGTTTAGCTAACAGATTTCAGAAAATCATCTTTGTTTTTGAAAAACATTGAAATAAAGTTTTTCTGTTTGAACTTTTTAAAGCACTCACAAATCTGAAAAAGTCCCTTTCCAAAAAAGAGAGAAAAAAACGCTCGATTAGATTTGCTTATCGATATTATCGATACAAACGGCATGCTCATGTTTGACCGTTCAGATCTCCGTTTCTAGAACAGCTATCAATCTGAAAATTGTTTCATTGGAAAGTCAAGAATGTCAGCTTTTGATCGCTATCTCATATATAGCAAATTCTTATAGGCGAGTGCCTTAAAAAGCTGATCAATACTTATCGATAATCGATACTTTCGATCTCGATAAGTATCGATAAGGTTTATGGGGTGCTTGTTCATTAAAAGTTGCTATGTATAAAATAGCAATCAAAAGCTGACATTCTTGACTTTCCAATGAAACAATTTTCAGATTGATAGCTGTTCTGGAAATGGAGATCTGAACGGTCAAACATGAGCATGCCGTTTGTATTGATACAGTCATGAACAAAAGTCTTGGCGGCTCCTGGGTGGCAACTTTCAAACGCAAATTTAGGAACCTTTCCGAGAGGCTATAAAAAAGTTGTCACAAGTATTTTTGAGCATTTTTACTCTACTTTTAGCTATGATCAAGCATTGAACTCGAAATTTTATTTTAAACAACAAAAATAAGCGTAAACGACAAAAAGGTCACAAAAACAATGGACAAAAGTCTTGGCGGCTGACTACAATATTCATTTTTTATTTATTTATTTATTTAGCGTATTTATCAACGCCAGATATAGGCAAGTTACACAAAAAAAATAGAAAAATGAGTATTGTAGTCAGCCGCCAAGACTTTTGTCCACGACTGTATATCGATAAGCGAGTCTACTCTCGATTAAATATTGAGCAAAAGCAAAAGTAAAACTTTCAAAAAAACAAGCTCTTTTTCAAGTTTAAAGCTTGTTCTTTAAAAGTTTTACTTTTGCTTTTATAATAAAGGAATTTAAGGTATCATTGACAAGCTTAAACTTTAAAGTTCTCTATAGAAATTGATTAGGATAAGGCAGGGTTGCAAAGTTTTGTTGAAAGTTTTGTTGAAAGCTTTCCGTTCATCTAACCTTTATTCTTTTCTTCATTCAGATAAGATTTTATCTTCACTAGTTTGTTTTAAAAAGGAGATTTGTGAAATTTAATGCAAAGGATGTAAAACGGTTGTGAAAAGAGATTTTTAATAATCGAATCTGTACTAGTTTAGCCTTTTTTACTTTCGATATCACTAATTTTCTAAAAAAAAAATTGGAGTTGCAAAAGTTGCAAAAATATGTGATTTCAAGAGTGCGTTGGTGTTTGATTTTAATGGATTTGGAGTGATTTTTTTTGTTTTGATACATTCATTCGGTTTCTTCCAAAGGTTTTCCCGTTCTATCCATTCTATCCATTCTATCCATTCTATTCAATTTTCTTTTTTGACTCTCTGTTTAATTAAATGTTTCCATGAGGTCTTCTTTTAGCTCTTCTTTATGACCTTTCTCTCTTTCTCTCTTTCTCTAATCGAAAAAGCCTCTTCCGAAGCAACTAAAAGAACACCTGATTAGCTAAATTTTCTAAGTATTTTTATGGATCTTGAAAAAGTGTTCGCAAAATTTTGACCAAAACTTGTTCTTTTTGTGAATGAGCTGAATTTTTAAATTGTTCATGAGCTGTGAGATTTTTCCTACTCGTCTTCTCAATCGCTCTAGAATATTTTATCATTCTTTAAGTGCTCTCTAAAAACAGATTCTTGCAAAATCGCTAAAGCTCTATAAAAAGATTCCATCTTCAATTTTGCTATTGAGCTGCTCTGTTTTTTTTTTGCAAAATTCTTTATCGAAGGTAATCGAAAGGTAAAAGAAAGTTTCTAAAACGATAATCTCAATTTTCAGAAATGTTTTGATTTCCCTACTTCACAAATGATCCTATGTATGCAATTTTTCGGCGTTCTCGCCGGATTCACTTTTGCCATTCTGCTCATGTTCGTCTTTTTTTACGGTTTACTAGTGAGTTCATACATTATTTCTATTCTTTTAATATTGGGTTGTCCAGTTATGAATGCGCGTTTCTTACTATTTTTTAAATTTCTCAAGATACCGAAATCAAGAAAAAGAATATATCAGTATTATTCGAAAGCTGAAGATCTCTTCTACATTTTGATATAAAAGTTTTTGAATTTGTTGAGCTTTTGGGCAAATTGACTGCATAGAAGAAGAGGTGACCAAAAAATGGAAGGGTGCCTTTGGATCAAGTTTTGGCTCCGCTCAAATTGAGTTAACCGTTTGATGTTTGGCCAATAGATATATCAATATAACTTTTTAAAAATATAACAATTTCAGAGCATCTTTACTTTTGTTTTCTTTTCTGAGCGGCTATTTTGCACCATAAAACTTGAGGAATAGCTAAGCTGAAATGGGTTTTTTCGAAAACGACTTCTCCCTTTGAGCAGTCGATTTCCCAAAAAGTTGATTGAATTCAAAAACTTTTTTATTCCATAATGTAGAGGAGATCTTCAGCTTTCGAATGATATATAACACTCATATACATCTCTTCGATATCTTGAGAAATTTACAAAATAGTAAAAGCGCGCATTCACAACTGGACAACCCAATACATTTCTACTGTATAAACCCACTGAATAGCTTTCAATATAGCTGAATAGCCAAAACGAAAGCTATCCGTTCCAAATAAACCAGTCAATCTATGTTTAACGGCTTTTTGCTTTAAGGATGAAGTCGATTTTGTTTATTCAACTGAATAGCATTCAATTCTAAAGCTATATATTCAAAAGTCAGTTTTTCTCTTTTCCAGTAAACCCTTTACAAAGTGATTGTAATTTATTGAATTTTTTCCAAGTTAATCATAAAAATTTGTAATAGGCTAATGTTGACTAATAAATGAAAAATGGATTTATGATCAAATCAAAGATTTTTGTTTAGAGTATTGCCAAAGAAAGAGAGAAATCAATTTGTGATCGACGAACGATATCTTCTCATCAAACAACCATCCCTTGAACTCGTATCGATAAGCTTTTAGATAATGTTTTAATTTTCAAGTATAACTTATAAAGTTTTCAGCTATTTTTAGTTTTAAATACATTCATTGATAACTTTTGATCACTATAAAAGCTAGATCGTGATGCGTGACGATAATCGTGATAATCGTGACTATGGACCCAGAAAGGGAAGGGCCTGTGGTCGACCCCGTCCGATCTGCCAAGTTGAGCAACGTCGGCGCGGGTTAGTCGTGGGTTCGACTCCCATGGGTTCCCCTCCGAGCGCCCCAGCCCGGCCATCGGAGTATCATCGGCTACGACAACTACACTTCTGCCTCAGTAAATGTGGAAGCAGGTTGTGATCTGCGCTAAGTGCGAAGACAGATCAAATCATTATTATTATAATCGTGACTATAATCGTGACGATGATCGTGACTATAATCGTGATTATAAAAGATCATGATGCGTCTTCTAAAAGGCGCTCTATAGAAAAGTTTCCGTAGCCAATCATTAAAATGATAGCAAAATGAATATATATTAAAATAAACAATAAATAAAACAAACCAAATTTTCCGACGCAAATTCGTTGTTGTGCTGGCATCTCTCCGCTACCATTTTTCTCGCCCACATGATAAAGCTGTGCTCCCTTTTGTCCAATCACGAGCGCAAATCTTTTCAGCAAGTTGTTTTCGTGGTAGTTTTGTGGTAGTTTTGGTTTCTCGCAGTTTTCACGATGATTTTGAAGCGTTTCAACCATCAAATTGTAGGCTTCAGCGGTTGGAATTTGTCCTCTTTTCTTCTTTTGTAAAAACACGCCAAATTCTTGGTCAAAAAGGTCCTCCATCTGTAAAAAAGTAGCATTTAATAGGAAAACAAGAAAACAAAAAATTCTCAAAAAAGACAATAAAATTTCTTTGAAAAGCGCAGAAAATTGCAAAAAAACGCTTAAGAGCATATATTTAGCACGTTTATTATTGTTCCACCTGTATCGGACGTCCGATATAGACTGTAACCAATAAAAGACCTTTGAAAAATGCAGAAAACTACAGAAAACGCTTAAGAACATATATTAAGCATGTTGATATTATTGTTCAATCTATATAAGACGTATTATTGTTCAATCTATATAAGATTTAGATTGAATCTAAATCGGACGTCCGATATAGACTGTAATCTAAATCGAACGGAAATCTAAATCGGACACAACATATATATATATATCGATATGGTTTTTTTTCTTCCCTACATTTAGGGCTTAAGGGTTGAGTGCTGGGGATTGGCCGGCAGAGCTGGAAAAGTGTCAAGAGCTGAGCAACAGTTGTTGGTTCGGGTGAGAGGTTGGTGGTGACATTGAAATTGACATTGTTAAACTTTTTTATACAATAGTAGGAGGGGCTTGATTAGATTCTCAAGTACCAATTTGATTGCGAAGTATAGCTTCAATAGGGTTCCCTGGTTAGCAGGGAATTTGCCGGAAAAGACAGCTCAGGCAAAGCCAAGACCAGCCAGAAGCCTGATCTCAATCTATATAAGACGTATTATTGTTCAATCTATATAAGATTTAGATTGATCGGACGTCCGATATAGACTG